AACCTCACTGGAGTAAAGCACCATAACTACTTCAGTGATTTGAAGTGCCTGGAGTATATTTATATGCAGTGCTTCATTATGAAACACCACACATACTGTGTTTATCCCTTTGTAATACCACCTCCAGCAGTGTACTTGGGGGGTCATTTGCTAGCTCCAAACAAGAGACAGGCTAATATCAATTCTGTGCATATTTCCATTGGCTGAGAGCAATCAGCTGACGCTCTCGACCAATAAATGAGTGAAAGGATCTGCATACGACTTTTGCAGAAGCCAGATGTCGTAAGCCTGCTGCAGAGGAGCAGCGACAGCCATTGCAGACCCAGGTAAGCTGCAAACCATTTTTAAATGGAACGGCGCCAGGTTACTCCTAGTATTATAAGCACCACATCAGTCTGTAGTAGTTATGGTGGTTGGTGTCACCCTTTGATATACCTGGGCTTAAGGAACCCTTTAAACGTTTCATGGGGTTATTCACTACACAGCGTTTGGTGGTTAACAGCAAACTGAATTTGGGCCAAAACTGATAATTTGTAAAATCTTGGCTATTTTATGGTAAATTTGCAGTTTGTTCTCTAATAAATCGCCTTGTCCTATTTAGTTTATAAAACTGTCCGTTTTGTTTCCCGCACTATAGGTTTGTGCAACTCTGGGTACATTACATTCTCTTCTTTTCTGATTATTCATTTTATTCTGAGCTGTAATAAAACTATTTCAGTCTAATCGTTGCTAGTCAGTTGTCAGTTCATCACATCTCGCTGTTTAGTGTATAAACCATTCACTCATAGTTTATTTACATTTTTTGCTAGACTCGAACGGCTCTCTATTTGTCTCTTATTTCCAACTAATGACAGGGCAATTAAAGCCATTAAAAGATGCTTCCATTTATAACCGTATCTGTGCCGAGATCACGACCCAATCGCAATGCGATCCACTGTTCCTCCTTGTTGTTTATCCCAGCACAACGCACTGTTATCAGACTCTCCCAGTGTATGTGTGTCTGCTGCGTATGTGTGTCTATGTCTCTTAATATTGTGTTTAGAACGTGTGTGTCTGCTTTGGGCTTTTGTTTGGGCCAGTTGTGAGTTTTTATAAATAGTGCGTGTTCATTTTTTGTGTGTGCGTCCTGCACCCTATGGACAATCTTCCACCTACTATTCCATAATTTAAAAAGCTTACATATTGTAAAATAAATAAATATGTATTATTAATATTATCAGCATTTACATAGAATTAACATGTCCTGCAGTGCTTTACAGTATTATGAAGGAGGACATTTGATAAAATTACAAAATGTCACAGGAACAATAGGTTGATGAGGACCCTGCTCAAATGAGCTTACAATCTAGAAATAAACATACAGTATATATATTTTAGATTTAGTTACACAAATTTGTAACTCCTGCATTAACAATCCTAGGAATGGGGGCTGAGCCGAAAGTGCACCCCCAGTTTTGGTCAAACTGCTCAACAGCAAGAGTGTGGTATGTGTGGCTTAGTGTGGGTTAGGGAGGAATGAAAATTGGAATTAAGCTCTCTTTAACCCCTTAACTCCAAATATTGTAAATACATGAGTGGACATAGCTGAGGTACCTGCACGGTTAGTCTGCAATTTCTAGTAAAATAAAATATTTCATATGCTTGTTATTTATTATTGTCACATGTAACAAAAGCCAGTAATATGATCAATTTAATGTTTTGGCTTATTCAGGGCATTAGCCTATAATGCAATGAATTACCCTTTTCGGATGGGAACATCATGGTATACTCAAAGCACCATAGTGTATAGGTTATGGACCATGGAGGCCTCTGTTCCTGTGTTCCTTAACTAAGGAGTTATAACTGCGAACAGCAGCAAAACTAAATGGAGTTATAGGTTCGCTTACTTGTTCCTAAACAGCAATGGGGGGCGCTATGTGCAGACATCGAATACATCCATTATTTTTCTTGCATATTTTTAAAGCATTTTCTATAAAATGTACTTAAAATAAGAACCATCTCCTGGCTGGAGAGACCATTTAATTAGTGTTTTTAGTGTACATTTACAAGTTACTAAGTGGATTGAGGCCGATTAACTGCATTCTGGAGATCTCACGTGTCGTTTAAGTTAGTGGCACAATCGTTTAGTAAAAATAGTAGGTTTTAGAGATAATTTGAAAAATAATGAAATATCTGTGCCTGATCTTAAAAGCGTGGGTCACTAAATACGTTAGATGTCTAGAGGTATCATACAAGGTCCTTTCAGCATAGAAGGGGTTAAGGCGAGGTCACAGCGCATACGAAAATGCCAAAGTTTTTATTAAATTGATTCAATTCCCAGCAGAGTTACGCAGAGGTAATTGTACCCTGACCTTGTATAGTGAAGGCGTCCATCTGTCATTTCTGACTCATTATTGTTTCAATATATCGTTTACACAATAAGCGGTGAATTTGCTGTGTAGTACTATCACCGTGTCTCCCACCTGAGGAATCTGAATGAAAGACATCAATAAATGATGGACTAACAGTACCATACACAGAGCTTTCATTCACACAGAGGGTCGTTCAGCCTTCATACATTCTGTCCAGGGAAATATATAAATATAAATATGACACATTTCAACATCTGATAAAGGTGTATTTGCATTTTACTTGCGCCATTCAATAATAGAATCTCCCCGAGGCAGAAAATAGCCAGAGAATTTCATGCTGTTTTTATAAAAGTAAAACAAAGATAATGATTTTATTGGAAAATTATATTAAAAAAAAAAATCTATCTATCTATTGATTTATCTATCTATCTATGCAACTATCTATCTATCTATTGATCTGTCTGTATCTATCTATTATTATTATTGCCATTTATATAGCGCCAACAGATTCCGTAGCGCTTTACAATATTATGAGAGGGGGGATTTAACTATAAATAGGACAATTACAAATAAACTTACAGGAACAATAGGTTGAAGAGGACCCTGCTCAATCGAGCTTACATTCTATAGGAGGTGGGGTGTAAGACACATTAGGACAGGAATGTGCAATCAAATAAGGTGGGCTGCCCTTTAGGAGAGGGCAAGAGACGGGTATGCGAGGTAGTGGTTAGTCTTGGAGGCCATAAGCTTTCCTAAAGAGATGGGTTTTAAGGCACTTCTTAAAAGATGCAAGACTAGGGGAGAGTCTGATGGCGGTAGGCAGGCTATTCCATAGGAAGGGAGCCGCCCGCGAGAAGTCCTGCAAGCACGAGTTGGCCGTACGGGTGCGAGCAGCGGACAGGAGGTGGTCACGGGCAGAGCGGAGAGACCGAGAAGGGACATACCTATGGATCTGTGAGGAGATATAATCTATCTATTTATCTCTATCTATTGCTCTATCTATCTCTATCTATCTATTTATCTATCTCTATCTATCTATCTATTGATCTATCTATCTATCTATTGATCTATCTATCTATTGATCTATCTATTTATCTGTCTTTCTGTCTGTCTGTCTGTCTGTCTATCTATCTAGTGGTTTATGAGAAAAGATCAAAAAGTAAACACATTTTTTTATTTTGCTTTTTTTTTTAGTATTCTGTATTAGTATGATCCTAATTTCATGTGCAAGACATGTATTGTGTTATAAAAAGAAATCATCCTTACTTTCCACCTGGTTAAATGTGCATTCTGGTTACGTTATCTGTGTTTGGCAGCGTAAGAGTTCAATACTTTGGATACCATTGCCATCTGACCTCTTTACAACTGCAGGGATTGGAAGTGGAAGTGATGTATCGCTATGAATTTATTTCATTCCAAGGGTAATGTGCTGAAATCATTAATAACGCTGGGTGTTACATTTACACATCTTGTGACTATAAAATGAGAACAAAATCCGACTGATCCTATTACACACACAATAGACTACTGTGACTCACTGAGGACAACACGAGCTGAGGGTGAAGGTAGGATCCTTGCGGGATACAACAAGGGATCGACAGAAGGGTTGAAATATTTTGCTGTAAGTGTCAACTTTTATTTTATACCTTTAATAAACAATTTTGGTTTACATCAAATTCTCACAGGCCTTCTAGACCTCTTGGATTTAATTTTTTTTTAACCTATTTAAAAAAATATTTAAATATTTTTGATATATTGCTATATTGTGTTCATATATGATACATTTTTTGATATTTGAATTTTTTTGAAAAAAAAAATATTTTAAAAGTTTATCCAAAAATCTAAATCATTTGAAAAATTTATCTAACGATATTAAGTCAAGGCCTTTATTTTGTTTGTCAGTTGTCTGATTTTTTACCAGAAGTTTTAGGAAGTGCTGTTAAAAGGTGTTTGTACAATATAAATGCAGTTATGAGGAGATCTTGAGCCTAGAACAGGATGGTTTAAAGAAGGACCACTGGTCTTAGTATAATACAGAACTTAAATGAGTTGGGCGGAGCCAAGCAGCCGAACTGAGTGGTCGCAGCACCCGCGAACTCCGAGAAATAACCCATTCAGGGGCCCAAAATCCCGACCTGAGTGCCCCGACCGGCACCCTAAGTAGTGAGGAAACGTGATGGGTCGTAACACCAAGAAAATGAAACCTGACAAGCCGCGTTTGGGCTCCAATATCAGAGAACTCTTCCGGCAAGCGCATGGTGTGGCAGGATCCAAAATGGCCACGTACTCTGAGGTTTGTTCAGGATACTCTGAGGAGGTGAGGGAGATGCCGGTGCGACAAACCACCTACCAGCCCCCTGTAAGCCAGAATCAGAGTCAGTGACTACTGCAGTACTTAAACACTCCTAGCAGACCTCCAGGCTAACTTACAGACTGACTTAGCAGTGATCCGCACTGACATCAGGGGCCTGACAGGCCAGATGGGGGCTCTGGAGACAACCACAGGAGCTCATAGACATCCTACTCCAAAAGCAAGGAAAATGGATAGGACTGGATGGATACTTCCAAGTGCCCAAGTCACCTATGGCCCCGGCAGATGTTTAGGGACCTTGTGACCTATCGGGAGGTACAATGGCATGGAGAATATCGATGGCACCCTTCACATCCCTGCTCAGAAAGTACAACATCCCATACCGCTGGCGGCAGGCGCGCACACTCTTAATCTCTCAAGGGGAAAAACGACATGTGAAACGAGACCTTGCAGAAGCAAAGACCCTACTGGCCGCCATACATCTCCTGCAGGACTCACTAGACCTTGTGGGATTTACTGCGGAAGCCGGGGGACCTCGCAGGCTAAACCCAGTAATGACGCTGTTTATCCCTAAGCGGTCCAATCAGAACCTGTACGCTGCTGTTACAACTTGACTCCCTAGATACGAACTTATGCCTCAAACAACCTTCACAAGTTTATACTTAATTTACTGTTTGCTTACTTTCATATGTTCACTTTCTTGCACGCTTGCAGCCAACCACTAATACAATGATTTTATAACACATCTCTCACACGAGACCACCACTCAGCTCGAATAGACACAAAACCTCGAATATATTCCCCCACACATTAGGAATTTTCCCTGAGCTAGACACAAATGTCAGTTATCTGCAGCACTTAATTCACATTATACTTACAAGCATCAGACACCAGACGTTCCCATACTCAATGCCCCATCACAGCCAATATAGAGCTCAAGTGACCACAGCAATGCAAACACATAGGAGACTAAGTCTGGATGCTCTTAGCAATATAACATAACTGTAGTCACTCTTATACAAAATTCTTCAGCTCATGACCTGACAGGCCAAACGCTGCCCTATCTATCACCTGCTCTCACGCTCTACATATAACATGTTCAATGTACCCGCATATGATGTTGTACGAATGTGTCTGTGAGCTGAAGCCAAAAATAAAGAATTAAAAAAAAATAATAAAAAATCACATCACAGAAAACACAATGGTGATAAAGTGCCAGCAGCCAGCAGCCAGCAGCCAGAGGGACTAACGCATTTTACACCTTTAATAGCGATTGTGAATAGGCAGTCATGGATTGGATTCCATGAAGAAACAGAACTGAAAAACTCAATTGTATTTCAATGCTAATAATTTGCTTATTTGAAGACTAAAAAGTTTGTCAGAGATAATATAAACCAACATGTTGACATGTAATTATATGTACTACTAAGTATATTACTGTTCATATTGTGATTGATTTTACATATGTATGTGTAAATGATTTTGGATGATTTTTAAGATCTCATGAAAAGGTGAGCAACTAACATGAAACAATTTAGTTAGTGGGAGAATACTTATTAGAATCCAGTATATTATCTATTATCAGACTGCGTCTGCGTCTAATTTTAGCTTTATAATAACCAATATTAATTACGTTAGAGAATTATCCTCAATGGGCTAATTGTCTGTTAATATCTATTACGTGCTTTTCAAAGCTATGTAGATTCAAGCAATTCCTACATAATGAGGTGAGTTCTCCTGTAGGAATTCCTGATAAGACGTGGGAAAGATGACGACTATCTGCGTGGTGGGGTTTGTTCCCTGATATTTCCTGCCTAAAATTCTTTGTTAACACAGTTTTGTTTAAATAATCTCCTATAAGTATTACATCCTGAAATTAAATTGTTGGGGTTTTCTGAAATTATAAAATTAAAGGTGTTATTTAAATCATTCAAGTTAGACTAGATGTTACCTGACCAAATGACGTACAGGATCATATATGTAAAGACCACAATGGATGAGATGATGAAACAAGTTACTAGTTAGTATGATATACAAAAAGGATAAAAAAGGATCAGTGCTAATACGCCAAACTAAAAGATATATATAAAAATTAGAGTAGGCGACACACCTTAAAACATAAGGCTTTATATATATATATATATGTTATAACACACCTCTGTTTTTATAATTTCTGGCGCTACCTTTATCCCCCCTCTGTGACCTATCCCTAGTATGAAATACCAGTTGGCATTGAAGGTACACATTTCGTTTCCGTTGTAGTGTCATGTTTTGAGGACAGTAATTAAAGGGACACTATAGTAACTCAAGCCAATTCAAAAAAAACATTGCAGAATCAGTCTCTATTGGCTGCTACTAGAGGTGCTTCTGGGACCTTAATACCACTACACACAGGGGCATATAGCAATAGAAATACAAGTTTGTAACCTTTAACACTATGGGTTTCCTTTATTGTTAACATATGTGACAGAGCAATGCAATCTATTACAAAACTGTGGAATGAATCTGGGAAACTGGAAAACTAAACAGAAAATATTTTTTATGTCCACCCCCTCCGAACACTTTAAATATGGAATAGAAGAACACACGGATAGCATGTATACGATTTGTCACCCATCTTTTAGACATCCAAAATAATACCTTGTCCAAATGCTTGATGGCAATGTTTATAATCTGTTTCAGTTCTTTCTGAGTGAATGCAGAAATAAAGAAAACCAATTTAGATTTTAGGAGAGCTTAGTTTGGAGATGTGAATTTATTTTGTTCTAACACAGCTTGTCTGCTCGAGCCTCCAGCAACCTCCTTTGTATGATTAAAGTTGAATTAAAAGAGAAGGAAACAAGAACCTTTAAAGTAAACACACTGTGCTATAAGATCTGATTGAACATGAAACCAGTTTTATGATGGAGGCTGTGTGAGTCTCAGCCAGGGGAGGTGTGGCTTGAGCTAGTTATTTAACTTCTAAATGGCAGAGAATTGAGCAGTGAGACTGCAGAGGCATGATCTATACACCAAAGCTGCTTCATTAAAATAAAGATGTTTTCGTGCTATGAGTATCTCTTTATCTGCAAATATCACACACGGGCAATGACGTCAATATATAACATTTCCTGTTTCTTACGACCTTTGCTCTTAAATGGTGCTGTTGCTCTTCGTCAGTTCCGCATGACTATTCTGATCGGACAGTGTGTCATTATCTCCGATGTATCATCTAGTGAATTGGGACATCACTTCAGACGCAGTCCAGGAATCTACACATATTTGGGTCAATGTATGGGTTAGGTTGCCGTGAGTAATGCTGGGTTTTGTTTTTACATTTTTTTTTTATCGTGATCACTTTTTCCGCTTTTCCCCACTCTTTCAGGTCATAATTCGCCTACTCCCAGATAAGCTTGCTATGCCCCAAATACACATTGAACTTACAATACATTAACAAAATGCATATACAATTAATGTAATTGGGGCAACTGTATGATACCGATATTCAACGTTCTTCTTCCATTCTGCATTGACTAATTGGTAATATCTTAAATGTGCTTACAAGCGGGTGTGTTTTGTTTTATAATTTAAACATTAGGAGCTGTATCAAAATACCAGTTTTTGAGATGCAAATTAAAAAAAAATCATCTTTGCATCATGCATACACAGGTTGGATAATGCAATTGGGGCAGTGCAGAAGGAATGTAAACCCACAACAGGATTGGCATGTTAAATTGAAACAAGATGCAGCTAATATTTTATCTCTTAGCAATCTATCTGGTTTAAAGGTACACTCTAGGCACCCAGACCACTTCAGCTCATTGAAGTGGTCTAGGTGCAGTGTCCCTATGGCACTTAATGCTGATTTTTTTTTTTTAATAATCATTTATATATAATTTATTTTTGATATTTTAATATTTTGAAAAAACTACATTTAAAAAGTTATTTAAAAATATAAGATCATTTTAAAAGTTTATCCAACAATATTAAATTGAGGCCAAATTTGAAATTCTAGATAACCACCAAGACAATTGCAAATTTTCTGCCAATAATGCTGAAATTAAAACATTCAGGAACTCATCTATTTTGGCTAAAAATGTGCAATTCTCCTGTTAAGTTTCAGCAATATTTAGTGGAAAAAAGCTGTAAAAGATTTGAATCATAATGCCTTCCTTTACCAGACTTGTTTACATATATATTTCTTTTTAACACAGCTTTGTGTTGACTGTACCATTACCACATAGTAATGAAGGTCTAAATAATAATTACAATCAAGTAATAAGTATTACAATGTCACACAAGGAAATCAGAGATCAGCATCCGACTATTTGCTTTTATTCCAGGAATATAACTAATTGCAATTACTGGTATCTTTATTTGGATGAGGACAGAACACTAATTGATTTGTTTTTTCCTCTTACATAAAATTCTGTTGCCTGAGGGTTTGGTCTAACTAAAAATACTCTGTTCATTTACCACTAGTAATATTACAGAGACATTTGAAGTCTGTTAAATACAAAGATCAATGAGATAAATTGAAAATACATGATATATATACTGTAACATGTTAAAGACGGTCCTGCTTTTTTTAAATAATTCAAAACAACAGGTTTTAATGTTCTTTATAAATGAGCTACAGCTACAATGAGCTTTAAAGAGGACCTGTCAAATCCCATAATTTTTAATATTATGTTTACTTATTCCTGTATTCAACAAATATATATTTGTTAGATGTAAAAAATTAAAATTAAATATAGTAATTCACACCTCCTTATCCTGCAACTGTGTGCGTCCGTCTTAGCTCCCTGTCAATAATTGTTATAAGTTCTGTACTTTAATCTTGGCAGTCATGATAGACACGGCATAAAGAAGAAGACAGAAATTAAAGGGATTCTATAGTATTAGGAATACAAATCTCTATTCCTAGGACTCTAGTGCCATCTGGTCCCCTCCTCCCTCGCAGCCTTCCCCCGGCCTGTAAAGGGTTAAAAAAATGTATTTACTTAAGCGATTTCAACGCCGATGTCCCTGGACCCTGGGTCGGCACTCCGTCTCCTCCGACGTGGAAGCCTAATGCGCATGCGTGGCAAGCACCACAAGCACATTAGACCCTCCTCATAGGAAAACACTGCTTCAATGCTTTCCTGTGAGGATTTCACTGACGCTGGAAGTCCAGCGTTATTTAGGGTATGGAGTCCGGTAACATTCAGGAAGTGCCTCTAGTGGCTGTCTGATTGACAGCTGTTAGAGGCAGTCTTAGTCCTGCAAAGTAAGCATTCCAGTTTCTTTAACCCCTTAAGGACACAACTTTTGGAATAAAAGGGAATCGTGACGGAATATTTCCGTCATGTGTCCTTAAGGGGTTAAAACTGATTTACATTGCAGGACTAAGGGGGACTGGGATACTGCACCCAGAAAATTTCATTGAAACGGTCTGGGTGTAAAATAGTGTCCCTTTAAACCCTAAAGAACACATGACATGTGTGACATGTCATGATTCCCTTTTATTCCAGAGGTTTGGTCCTTAAGGGGTTAAACAAGATTTATTTTTCTCGTTCAATGTTTTCCTGGCTGAGCCTCCAATGAACTGGAACTTGTGACGTAATTTGTTAAATCTTATTCTAATACACATTAA